GTTCACGCAAACTCCAACCAATGCACTCTCAAAGAGAAAACAAACAAGAGAGCGTCAGAGTTCTGTCACAAAGTACGAATGAAATAAACATAAGACAGAAATGCTATGATTCTTTGTTAAAACAAACAAAGCACAATGTACAAAAGACACTTTTTAAAACCTTTATGAATCTTTAGTTTGAGTATCTATCAATTTAGCAAGGTCATGTGATATCAGCAAACATCCCTGCTGAAAAATCCAGCTTAAACCAGCCTTAGCTGGTTGACCAGGCTAAAACCAGCTTGACCAGCCTAGCCAAGCTGGGAGTCCAGCCAAAACCAGCTATATCCAGCTTAAACCAGGCTGGTCAAGCTGGTTTTAGCTGGATTTGGCTGGTCATTTTCCAGCCTGACCAGCTAAGACTAGGCTGGAAATGGCTGGAAACCAGCCTGGAAGTGGCCAAAACCCCTCTAAAACCAGCCTGGTCGACCAGCTAAAACCAGCCAACCAGCCTAGACTGGAATTTGCTGGATTTTTCAGCAGGGATGGCTTTGGTACATCATTACTATTTCAAAATGGTTCATAAAATCCAATGTTTCTCCACTAGGGGGCGATCTGTCATTCATTCATTTTCCTTCGGCTTAGTCCTTTATTTATCAGGGGTTGCCACAGTGGAATGAACCGCCAACTATTCCAGCAAATGTTTTACACAGCTGATGCCCTTCCAGCTGCAACCCATGCACACTCATTCACACGCACATTCATTCACTACGACCAATTTTGTTTACCCAATTTACCTGTATTGCATGTGATTGGACTGTGGGGGAAACCGGAGCACTTGGAGGAAACAAGGGAACACCAACAAGGGGAGAACATGCAAACTCCACACAGAAATAAGAACGGGACTCGAACCAGCGACCTTCTTGCTGTGAGGCGACAGTGCTAACCACTGAGCCACCGTGCCGCCTGGGGCCAATCATTCTGATGCTCACTGTACCTGTGTGTGTGTGTTTTTGTCTCCAGTGCAGATGCCACTCCGGCTTCAGACTGAAGGATGATGGGAAGACGTGTGTGGATGTGGACGAGTGCTCCACCACGTACCCCTGCACGCAGCACTGCATCAACACACACGGCAGCTTCAGATGTGTCTGTGTGGATGGGTTCCAGCTCAGCCCCTCCGACCCCACCATCTGCAAATCCACCTCTGGTATGAACACCGATCGCTTACAGTCACCTGACCTGTACTGAGACCTGGCAGGCTATAAAACAATGAGCCATGATGGCGGCTACACTGGGATCTCCATAGAAGCACAGTATAATATACTCCAATAGCCAGGACATTTTCACAGTATTTCCTATAATATTTATTCTTCTGGAGAAAGTCTTATTTGTTTTATTTCGGCTAAGAAAATTTAGAACATAAAACAAAAATCCTGAATAAAAAGATAGTTTGTGCAGAGCTTGAGCGAGTTTCTTTTGTATTTTAACATGTCCTTTGTGTGTCTGTACAGACGAGGAGCCGTTCCTCATCTTCGCCAACCGTTATTACCTGAGAAAGCTCAACCTGGACGGCTCAAACTACACTCTTCTGAAGCAGGTACAGTCTGACACAAGAAGAAAGTTAAGAACTGAAATAAACATTTAAGATAATACGGTTAAGGTTATACAACAAATAATCCATATCCTTTTTATTTTTGCTAGGCTACATGTACTTTATTAATACTTAGATGTAGTGTTAGTTTTACTTTCACTCGAGCATATTTCAGCCAGATACTTGTACTTTTTATTGAGGGCAGTTTTCACTCACGATCTGTACTTTCACTTGAGGATCAGTGTTTAATCCTTGTGTGCAGTTCAGGATGTTTTCATCCACATGATTTTGAGGCTTTATTTGGCCACAGCTTTCTCTGTGTTTCAGCAAATGCAATGATTTTTGCTGACAAATCTTATTTAGACACATATTTCAGAAAGATGCTTTGAAAATGTTCAAAAACTCAACAATACACTCTGGGGAACGTGACTCGCCTTTGGGTATGTTGCGGGCTGTTTTTGCCCCATTGACCTTCATGACCATGACAGCATATAATCATGCATTCTTAATTATTACTGGTTTCGCTGTTGGGAAGAGCTACAATTAATCATTTTGACTCTTGATTATCAGTAAAAAAAAAAAAAACTTGTTTCTGGCTTTTATATGGAGTTATGAGGAGTGTAGTGTGTTTGATGTGTATGTGAGAGTGTAAGGGTGCTGGTCCAAACCCAAGTTCAATTGTCCCCCAGACATCCTAAGTCTTCCGGAAGTTCCGGGAGTATACCGCAAATGCATAGAGACTCCCGGATACCCGCAAATGAATGATAATCTCCCAGAAATCGCCCATCTCCCGCCCGGTTCTTAAATACGTTGCACACACCTCTCCACCGCATCCCTCCCAGCTCTTCAGGTACGTCGCATGCCACTCACCCCCACTGGTCTTCAGGTACGTCGCGCACCACTCACCCCCACCGCTCTTCTGGTATGTCGTGCGCAACTCACCCCTACCGCTCTTCAGGTATGTCGTGCGCAACTCACCTGCACCGCTCTTTAGGAACGTCATGCGCCACACACCCCCACCGCTCTTCAGGTACGTCGCGCGCCACTCACTCCCACCGCTCTTCAGGTATGTCGTGCGCAACTCACCCACACCACTCTGCAGGTACGTCGCGCGCAACTCACCCCCCCCCCCCACTCTTCAGGTATGTCGCGCGCAACTCACCCCCACCGCACCGCTCTACAGGTACGTCTTGTACGCACACGCCTATACTCAGAAACATCGCTCAATCAACCATCGTGCTTGTTGCTGAGGTAACGTTAGGCGAATGAACGTTGTAAAAGCTAAAGTTTGTTGTACAGTTGGCGTTCCAGAGACCAGAGTTCATGCAAACCGTAAGGGTTAATGCTCACAACTGATGATCCACAGTAAAAATGACCTCTTCCTGACAGGGAAAACCACCAACAATCAAGAATGCATGATTATATGCTGTCATGGCTTTGCAATCCAAAAATGTCATCATAATAGAAGTTAATGGGGTAAAAAGAGCCCCCAACATAACCAAAGGGGAGTCAATTTGAACAATACACAAGGGTTAAGTGCATTTTACAACCCTGATATTACACAAAGCATGATGTGACGTTGGAAAAAGATCCAGCGGTTTGTATGTTTCCTCACAAACGCTCTTCATCTTCAGGGTCTGAATAACGCCGTGGCGCTGGACTTCGACTACAGACAGCAGATGATCTACTGGACAGATGTGACCACTCAGGGCAGCATGATCAGACGCATGAACATCAACGGAAGCAACGTGCAGGTCAGCTGCATGTGTGTCTCGTCACAATAGGTCACAATGGTCAGAGTTCCCACTGGTCATGGAAGAGGGTATATATGCAGACGCACTTTAGATTTTCAGAAGTGCAGCTCAAGTGCTTCCAGTGTGCTAATACAAAATTGCCACATTTTGGATCTGTTTCCTTTAACAATTAGCGAACTTCACTGCCTGATTGATATACGATATTCAGTGGGTCTCAGACTGGATAAGAAGCACTGCATTCAATTAAAATTTTCCACACTATGTCTTTAAAATATGGACATTTATTTTACACTTCTGTCCAAACAGCTCCGGAAAGTTGATTTAGCATCACAGGTGGCCTTTAATTATTGTTACACCCCTAATACAGTAGATAATTCCATCATAGTTCCCACTTTCTGTGATGTCAGCTGAAATGTGGTTGTTTTCGGTCAGGTTCTGCACCGCACGTCTCTCAGTAACCCAGACGGTCTGGCTGTTGATTGGGTCGGTGGAAACTTATACTGGTGTGATAAAGGAAGGGACACTATAGAGGTGTCCAAGCTGAATGGAGCGTACAGGACTGTCCTGGTCAATTCAGGACTGAGGGAACCACGAGCTGTCGCTGTGGACGTACGCAATGGGTAAGTCAGAGTAACCCCTTCCATTATTTCAGTCATTCATTTATTATTAGGTGACAAAAACAGTTGCAGCTTCCAGTTCATGCGGAATTGAACATATGTTTGTGTGTGTCAGGTATCTGTACTGGTCAGACTGGGGTGATATTCCTCACATCGGCCGCATCGGGATGGACGGCACCAACAGAAGTGTGATCGTTCAGGACAAGATAACCTGGCCCAACGGCCTGACTCTGGACTTTATCAATGACCGCATCTACTGGGCTGATGCCAGAGAAGATTACATCGAGTTCGCCAGCTTAGATGGAACCAACAGACACACGGGTGAGGAGAAACAGCAAATATATTAGCTGCTCTCTGAAGGTGTTGAACAGAAGTGACGTTTAAGAAGATGTGTAAAATTGCTTACTCTTTATCAAGTCATTCTGAACTTTAGCACTTCTGAGAACTTCTGAGCTCTGAGAAACAATTTTGCTTATAGAGGTTTTAAAAATGCATCGATATTCACTCTTGAATGGATTCTGAGATGAGTTTTACCAGCAGATGGCGCTGTGTGCTTTACAAACCACCGTACACTGCTTGCATCTAATTCCTTACACACACCACTCGAACCTGAAATAATCATTGATAAATTTAGGAAAGCGAATTAAGCGAATTACAAGAGCTGTGTTAACATTAATCTTGAGACAAAAAAAACCAACTTACATTATTTAATCATTAGCATTTGAGTGTATGGTTAAAAACTAGCTTATAGTGCTGTCTGCTGTTAAGAACTAGCCTAGAGCGCCGTCTGTGGTTAAAAACTAGCCTAGAGCACCGTCTGCTGTTTAAAAACTAGCCTAGAGCGCCGTCTGCTGTTAAACACTAACCTATAGCGCCGTCTGCTGTTAAACACTAACCTAGAGCGCTGTCTGCTGTTAAACACTAGCCTAAAGCGCCGTCTGCAGTAAAAACTAGCCTAATCTGATGTTAAAAATTAGCCTAGAGCTCCATCTGGTGTTTCAAAATAGCCTAGAGCGTTGTCTGCTGTTTAAAACTAGCCTAGAGCGCCGTCTGCAGTAAAAACTAGCCTAATCTGATGTAAAAAAAAAACTAGCCTAGAGCGCCATCTGGTGTTAAAAACTAGCCTAGAACATTGTCTGCTGTTAAAAACTAGCCTAGAGCGCCATCTGCAGTAGAGCACCATCTGCTGTTAAAAACTAGCCTAGAGCACAATCTGCGGTAAAGCGCCATCTGCTGTTTAAAACTAGCCTTGAGTGTCATCTGCTGTTAAAAACTAGCCTAGAGCGGTGACTGCTGTAAAGAACTAGCCTAAAGCACCGTCTGCTGTTAAAATCTTGCCTAGAGCGCCGTCTGCTATCAACACCTAGCCTAGAGCGCCGTCTGCTGTTAAAATCTAGCCTAGAGCGCTGTCTGCTGTAAACACCTTGCCTAGAGCGCCGTCTGCTGTTTAAAACTAGCCTTGAGTGTCATCTGCTGTTAAAAACTAGCCGAGAGCGCCGTCTGCTGTAAACAACTAGCCTAAAGCACCATCTGCTGTTAAAATCTAGCATAGAGCGCCGTCTGCTATAAACACCTAGCCTAGAGCGCTGTCTGCTGTGAAAATCTAGCCTAGAGCGCCGTCTGCTGTTTAAAACTAGCCTAAAGCGCCGTCTGCAGTAAAAACTAGCCTAATCTGATGTTAAAAATTAGCCTAGAGCTCCATCTGGTGTTTCAAAATAGCCTAGAGCGTTGTCTGCTGTTTAAAACTAGCCTAGAGCGCCGTCTGCAGTAAAAACTAGCCTAATCTGATGTAAAAAAAAAACTAGCCTAGAGCGCCATCTGGTGTTAAAAACTAGCCTAGAACATTGTCTGCTGTTAAAAACTAGCCTAGAGCGCCATCTGCAGTAGAGCACCATCTGCTGTTAAAAACTAGCCTAGAGCACAATCTGCGGTAAAGCGCCATCTGCTGTTTAAAACTAGCCTTGAGTGTCATCTGCTGTTAAAAACTAGCCTAGAGCGGTGACTGCTGTAAAGAACTAGCCTAAAGCACCGTCTGCTGTTAAAATCTTGCCTAGAGCGCCGTCTGCTATCAACACCTAGCCTAGAGCGCCGTCTGCTGTTAAAATCTAGCCTAGAGCGCTGTCTGCTGTAAACACCTTGCCTAGAGCGCCGTCTGCTGTTTAAAACTAGCCTTGAGTGTCATCTGCTGTTAAAAACTAGCCGAGAGCGCCGTCTGCTGTAAACAACTAGCCTAAAGCACCATCTGCTGTTAAAATCTAGCATAGAGCGCCGTCTGCTATAAACACCTAGCCTAGAGCGCTGTCTGCTGTGAAAATCTAGCCTAGAGCGCCGTCTGCTGTTTAAAACTAGCCTAGAGCGCCGTCTGCTGTAAACATCTAGCCTAGAGCACCGTCTGCTATAAACAACTAGCCTAAAGCACCATCTGCTGTTAAAATCTAGCCTAGAGCGCCGTCTGCTATAAACACCTAGCCTAGAGCGCTGTCTGCTGTGAAAATCTAGCCTAGAGCGCCGTCTGCTGTTTAAAACTAGCCTAGAGCGCCGTCTGCTGTAAACATCTAGCCTAGAGCACCGTCTGCTATAAACACCTAGCCTAGAGCACCGTCTGCTGTAAACACCTAGCCTAGAGCACCGTCCGCTGTAAACACCTAGCCTAGAGCGCCGTCTGCTGTAAACACCTAGCCTAGAGCGATGTCTGCTGTTAAAATCTAGCCTAGAGCGCCGTCTGCTGTTTAAAACTAGCCTAGAGTGTCATCTGCTGTTAAAGCTGAGCTCAGAATTGATTCTAGAGATAATACCTATGCATTTTGAACATGTTCGAGTCTATACCTATTTGATTTCTCAAACAATCTTTTAGCTCTACTCTTGATATCCGTTTGAGCTGAAGTGCTTCTTGTTTGAGTTTTCTTTAAAGTTGTTATGTTCGTCGATTATGAATGGGTGTGTGTTTGTTGCTGCAGTGTTGAGTCAGGACATCCCGCACATCTTCGCCATGACTCTATTCGAGGAGTTCATCTACTGGACGGACTGGGAGACCAAGTCCATCAACAGAGCTCATAAAACACAGGGAACCAACAAGAGCATGTTGATCAGCACGCTACACAGACCCATGGACATCCACATCTTCCACCCCTACAGACAGCCTGAAGGTTCGATAACTACACACAAACAAACACACACACACACACACACACACACACACACACACGAGTGTGCTCTAAAAACCGATTAGTTGACTTTTAATTTAAAAAAGAGAGTAAACTCATTTCCTTATAATCATTAAGTAAAAATCAAGATGTGCAGCACTGAAACTACGGATACTGGAAGCCTGTGCTGGCATTTTTCCTGCGCTGTTGCTATCAGTGTGTGAAGAGGGGGAGAAGAGGGTTGCATTGACAATCCAAAACAATGGGCAGCACATTGAACACATTTTATAAGTGGTCAGAAACATGTAAATAACTCATGAAAGAATAAAGTTGCGTTAAAACCAAGCGCACCATTGTTTTTCTGGTGAAATTCCCAATTAGTTTGACGTGTCACATGACCCTCTTCCTACTAAAAAAACTAAATTTGTATCCAAGATGGCCGACTTCAAAATGGCCACCATGGTCACCACCCATCTTGAAAAGTTTGCCCCCTCACATATACTAATGTGCCACAAACAGGACGTTAATATCACCAACCATTCCCATTCTATTAAGGTGTATCCCTATAAATGCCCCACCCTGTACAGAAAAGAAAAAGCGAATGAAGCAAAAGACACGATTAGAATTCTGATAAATACATATACAAATAAGAAAGAAATAAAGACTAATATGAGGATTCAAATGACGCAGAAAAATCTACATATTATTTTTATAATATCAGACAACCCAATACAATACAATACGCAACTGTACATTGATTCAGATGTACTGCAATAGTGTTTCTGAATAGTTTTGTCCACTGCCTGACTCTGTTTCTCTGTCTCTCTGTAGTGCCGAATCACCCGTGTCAGACAGATAACGGCGGCTGCAGTAACCTGTGTCTGCTGTCTCCTGGTGGAGGCTATAAATGTGCCTGTCCCACAAACTTCTACCTGGCCGGCGATGGGAAACAGTGCATGTCCAACTGCACCGCCAGCCAGGTCAGCACACCACCCTCAACCTTATGAGCTCCTCAAACACACCATTCCTCCTCTGAAATCCTCTCTCTCTCTCCTCAGTTTGTCTGCAAGAATGATAAGTGTATCCCGTTCTGGTGGAAGTGTGACACTGAGGACGACTGCGGAGATCGCTCTGATGAACCCGCTGACTGCCGTGAGTCAATTTTGACGTGTCTATCTGATCTTATTCAGCTATTATTATTGTTTTAATCCACATGCTCTCATCTAAAATGCTAATGATTAGGATAATGAAAAGATAAAGCGAGAGTTTAGAGCCCCACCTGACGCCGTGATTGTTACAGTACAAAAACTTATGCATGACCATTCCACCTGCAGAGTGAACAGACCTGTCATAAGTGTGTTATAACCACATGTCTGTCTCCACAGCGGACTTCAAGTGCAGACCGGGTCAGTTCCAGTGCGGGACGGGCATCTGTACAAACCCTGCATACATCTGTGACGGAGACAACGACTGCCAGGACAACTCTGATGAGGCCAACTGCGGTAATACTGCAAATAAATGCTTCCCCTTCAGGGAACTTTGATGCTGCATCAAATATCGATGCTATGGGTACACTTTCGATTCGAGGGAGTCCTGAAGCACATGTGAAATAACTCCAATGTAATTTGCAGGACGTACCTGCGACACGATGACTGAGCTGATTCTTTTCAGTAGACTTGTTGAATCAGTTTCCAAATCGCACTAAATGATTCATTCATGAACTGGACTGATGCATTTGTTTTGACTACTGTGTGTGTGCGTGTGTGTGTGTGTGTGTGTGTGTGTTTCAGATATCCATGTGTGTTTGCCCAGCCAGTTTAAGTGCACCAACCCCAGCCGCTGTATTCCTGGAATCTTCCGCTGTAACGGTCAGGATAACTGTGGAGAAGGAGAGGACGAGAAGGACTGCCGTGAGTTACAGATGCAGAAACGCTCAAACGCTGCTGTCCTGGGCTACGTCCACACACAAACGACCTTTATTTTTCTTTTCTTTTGCAAATTCAAAACGTTTCCCTACTGAAAATCCAGCTTAAACCAGCCAACCAGCCCTAGACTGGTTGGCTGGGTTTAAGCTGGATTTTTCAGCAGGGTTAGCATCCATATGCATATCATTTCAAGAAATGTTTGCCCTGATATGGAAACTGTGTTAAAGCGGTGTAATACATACAGGGATATGACAATGAAACTGAAAGGCCTGGTTTTAGAGCACAGTAATTCATTTGTATGGTGTAGGGCAGGCGTGACCAACCCTCTTCCTGGAGATCGACCCTCCTGCAGATTTCAGTTGCATCCCTTATCAAACTCACCTGCCTGTAATTATCAAGCGCTGTTCAGGTCCTAATTAATTGGTGCACATGTGTTTGATCAGGGCTGGAGCTGAATACTGCAGGAAGGTCGATTTCCAGAAACAGGGTTGAGCACCGCTGGTCCTCCGTTTTCAGCTAATACAGCATCAGTTGCTCTTGAGAATGACGAATTCAAGTCCTGCACTGTGGTCAGAGGGATTTTGAGCTCTTCTTCTTGCAGAATAGTGTTCAGGTCACTATGTGAAGCTGCTGGAGGAAAACCTTTCCTCCCAAACTCCCCAAAGTGCTCAATAATGTTTAGGTCTGGTGATTGTGCAGGCCATGGGATATGTTCACTTTCATGTTCATCAAACCACTCTGTCACCAGTCTTGCTGTACTGGTGCATTATAATCCTGATACATGGCACCACCTGTCACATGGTCCACCAGAATGGGTTGGTAGTCCTTAGCTAGTATCCGCTTATTAAGGGGAGACTCAACAAATGTTATTAATAAACATTTACAAAATGATCTAATACTTTCGAAAATCACGATTGCAATATATATGTCCAGGCCTAATATCCAATGGCCAGAAAGCGATTCATTTTTTATAAATTGTTCAAATATTGGTGTCTACATTATGTGATAAGACTAAAAAGTGGTCATAAATGAGTATTTACTCAATTTAAATGAGTAGCGGCTTGGACCCCAAAATAGTATTTCAGATGTCACAACTTCACAACTTCGATTGGGCCTAGGGAATGCCATGATATTGCAGGCCAAACCATCACTGATCCACCATGCTTCACTCTGGGCATCTACAGTCTGGGTGGTACGCTTCTTTGGGGCTTCTCCACACCGTATCTCTCTCAGATGTGGGAAAGGTAGTAAAGGTGGACTCATCAGAGAACAATACATCACTCGCATTGTCCACAGGCTAAGATTTTCACTGCTGGCACCATTGAAACCAACATTTAGCATTGGTCACCAGGCTGGTCAAATTTAGCCATGAAACCAACAACGCCAATGCCGAGTTCAGACTGCATGCTTTTCAAAGTAGTCGTGTCACAGATGTTTTCACACTGCATGACTGTCTGAGCTAATGTATCATCGCTGTTTTGTTTGCACTGCATGATGGATCAGCGACACAGGGTTTTACACTGCATGACTTTACCTCAGGAAGAATTGCTGACAACTTTGTCCAAACTACATCTCACAACCAAACACGCGAGAAGTGGCATGGAAACAACGCGAGGTCACATAGTATATTTTTTTGTTATTAACTACGTAACTGTTATAGTCAGTCAGAACACATTTCACACGGTATGATTGGAATCGCAGACAGCTCCAGATATTCAGCATGCCAGATATCTCACGGCCATCGGTGACTCATCGGCGATTCTCTCAGATGGCGTCTTTGATAGTTCACACTGTGTGATTGTTACTCACATGAACGAGCACCGATTTGCCTGTGATTTCATGCACTTGTCGGCCATTTCTCAAAACCTGTCGGCGAGTCAAAATCAGGGCTAAAATCATGCAGTCTGAACTCTGCATAAATTGGCCAGTGTTCAGTTTCATTAGCCAACCCCTGTATGTCACACTGACCTGTATGTGGTGTTCTAAACACAGACAGTGCTGCAGAATACACTAAAATTACAGAACAATGCCGTGAGCATGAACATGAACGGAGGGTTCCAAACGAGATATTTGGCCCTCCAAAGGGCCTTAAAGCAGGCAAAATGATCAGCCAATGGGGTAAGAAAAATAATCTTGATTTCGCTTTGACATAAGTTTATTTTTCATACCCCATTGGCTGATTATTGAGCTAGTTTTAAGAAATAATTCACTTAATTTCGATATGTGAAGTTTTCAACCCGGGCTCATTACGGAAACGTAGCCCCGCGGACGTTTCTGCGGACCGCGATTTACGTCCCGGGAGGTACGTATTAGAGCGGTTTTTGTTTTCGCGGATCCGCGAGAGGCCGCTGTGCACGCTTTTTTGCGTCTCGGGCGCCTCTCAGGAGCGCGCGCCGTTCGCGCCCACGCCGTTCGCACCCACGCCGTTCTCACCCACGCCGTTCTCGCGCGAAAAGCCGCCGGATCTTCCTCCTCCTCCTTCCCTAAACCCGAGCGACGGTTCGCAAAAGCCGTCCAAAAAAAAAAAAAAAAAAAAAAGCAAAAGCCCTCGTCTTCGATTTCGACCGCGTTTTCGGATCCCGCCGCATTCTCTCCCTTATTTTTCGGATTCCGTTTTTCATCTTACCTGATTTCCGGAACCGCTGTTCCCCGGACTCGATCCCGGTCGTTGTCCACCGCTGCCGGCTCCTCCTCCGGGGCCTCCGCTCCGCCAACGCAACGCTGTGAGCTAAGCGGACAAACTGGTTGCATCGGGAAAGCCCTCCACTCAGAGGCAAGCCGTCGGCCGGCGAGCGCGAAGAGGAGGGGCGGAGCGGCGCCACACCGCCCCGCATCATTCGCTCGAAAAAAACTAAACTCGACCGTACGTACCTCCGGCCACGTAAATCGTGGTCTCTAGAAACGTCCGCGGGGCTACGTTTCCAGAATGAGCTTGGGTTGGAAGTTTTTAAAACTAATTTCGAGAGGAGCACGTGATATAATTGACTGCAGCTGGCCGCCTATCTACACTCATTAGTTAGCCAATCAGATCTATCCTAACTCACTATAAGTAGCCTAGCTAGACATTACTCCCTTATCTTCGTTTTCCGAAGAAACCCCCCATCCACCCCCTTTCTTCTCCTTTTCTCCTTTACAAAAAAGGGGAGCTCTCGAGAACCACCTGATCTCGTACTCCCCTCACATGCTCTATGGACCTGGCGGGAGTCCTAGGCTTAACTATCTCCGAGCTCAGGGTTCTCTCCCGGGACAGCATGCCAAACCTGCTTACAGTTGTCAAGCAATATCTAAGTGTGAACTCTTGAAATTATTTCTGTAAACACAACAAAGTGTTTTGCTTGTCTAGAAAACGCTCCTTGATTTAAGAATTTCTCGATATTTGGACTAGAAACTAGACAAAAACTCTAAGTAAGACAATATTTTTTGTGCTGTAATGCTAGTTTACAATGTTAGTGTTTGTACTGTATTTTTTGATCGTCTAAGTTTTGAGATATACACATGTTCTGGTTGAATGTGGTGTAATTGTTGTGACTGTGGTGTGTGTTTGTGTGTAGCGGAGGTGACGTGCGCACCAAACCAGTTCCAGTGTACAGTAACCAAGCGCTGCATCCCTCGGGTGTGGGTTTGTGACCGTGACAATGACTGCGTGGATGGATCTGATGAACCCGCCAACTGCAGTAAGAGAAAAAGACCCATAAACACGCCTTGTGAAGTATATTTATAAACTAATTTCGAGAGGATCACGTGATTATGATTGAGCATGGCTGGTTTTAATGAATTTGCACGATTTCTAACCCACTATAAAGAGCCAGGGTTTCTCACTACAGTCATCTTCGATTTGAAGAATCCCCTCTTCCACCCCTACTCCTCCACCTTTCCCTTTATAGGGCAGCATGGAGGCACAATGGTTAGCACTGTTGCCTCAGAGCAAGAAAGTCACCGGTTCTAGTCCTTAAACAGGCCGGCTGTCGTTTCTATGGGAAGTTAGCATGCTCTTCCCGTGCTCGCATGGGTTTCCCCCGAGTTCTCCGGTTTCCTCCCACAGTCCAAAAACATGCAACATAAGTGAACTGGTCAATCTAAATTTAGCACTACAGTCAAAAGCATATCTCTTTATTGCAATCATTTTCTGTCATCAGCTCTTATCAAAACATTGGAGCTCAGAGCTCCCCTCTTGCCCTGCAAACGGAAGGGAGCCTCGGGCTCAAGGATCTTATGAGCTCAGGGCTCTCTCCCGGGACAGCATGACAAACAAGCTTTATAATCAATCATCAACTATGTATAAACTCTTGAAATATCCAGTACCCATTTCCTCACACTGCAGCTTCCATTCCATTCAATTTCCATATAACTTTTGGTCACAAGGTGGCGCTGCTCTGAAACTTTTGGAGCATTTTTTTACACGGATGATACATTTTCATGATAAGACAAAAGTTAAAAAAGGCAGATGCCCAAAAATGGCAAACAATCCTGATAACAATATACATAACGATATAGTGGATTTCTGTGAATTCAGTAGACAGTTAAAGTCAAAATTTCTAGCCCTTTATTTTTTAGAATTATTTTTTTCTTTTTCAAATATTTTCCCAAATAATGCTGAACAGATGCTGTAATTTTTCACAGTATTTCCTATAATATTTGTTCTTCTGAAGAAAGTCTTATTTGTTTTATTTCGGCTAGAATAAAAGCAGTTCTTAATTATTTTAAAGCCATTTTAAGGTCAATATTATTCACCCCCTTAAGCAATATTTGTTTTGGATTGTCTCCAGAACAAACCACTGTTATACAATGACTTGCCTAATTACCCTAACTTTTCCCTAATTAACCTAGTGAAGCCTTTAAATGTCACTTTAAGCTGAATACTAGTGTCTTGAAGAATATCTAGTCTAATATTATGTGCTGTCATCATGACAAAGAGAAAAGAAATCATTCATTCATTCATTTTCCTTCGGCTTAGTCCCTTATATATCAGGGGTCACCACAGTGGAATGAACCGCCAACTATTCTGGCACATGTTTTACGCAGAGGATGCCCTTCCAACTGCAACCCAGTAATGGGAAACAGCCATACACACTCACATTCTCACACACACACTCATACACTACGGCCAATTTAGTTCATCCAATTCCCCTATAGCGCATGTGTTTGGACTGTGGGGGTACCCGGAGTTAAATGTGATACATACGCTGGTGATCTCGGACTGGTATCCTCATTTCTTTGTGTGTGTGTGTGTGTGTGTGTGTGTGTGTGTGCAGCTCAGATGACGTGTGGTGTGGATGAGTTTCGCTGTAAGGACTCTGGTCGCTGTATTCCTGCGCGCTGGAAGTGTGATGGAGAAGACGACTGCGGAGACTCTTCAGACGAGCCTAAAGAGGAGTGTGGTGCGGGTTATATACACAGTCTTATTGAAAGTGTGGTTGAATTTTTTATTTTTTTTTGTCAAACATTAATTATTTAATTTTACTTAATTATAATTTTTTATTAAAATTAATTTTGCTTGAAATTTTTTGGGTTGTTTAAATTCATATATTTTTTCCTTTAAATTATAATATACAAATTTTATTTAATATTATTTTACTGAATTGTTAAGGTCAGGAAATCGTACAGTAGTTCTATTTATTAAAATCTTGACCTATAATTTATATTTAAAAGAGTGTTTTAGTTGCATTTCAAAAGTGAAAGACTGAAATGAGATTAAATCTTAAAGTAGTTTTGTTTGATAATGTTAATTTATACTTTTTACTTTGTCAATTTTCTAGGTGATTAAAATTCATAGAAGTTTTACATTCCTCTTTGTTAATAATGGCATTAATGGTGTGACTGTGAATGCAGATGAGCGGACGTGTGAGCCGTATCAGTTCCGCTGTAAAAACAACCGCTGTGTTCCCGGACGCTGGCAGTGCGACTACGACAATGACTGTGGAGACAATTCAGATGAAGACAAGTGTGGTAGGAGAAAAGTCAAACACACACACACATCTAGACAAACACACACACACACACACACATGCTTAATTTACATCAGAACGCACAGATATCAGTGCATTCACCTGATCACTGTCATTCTCATTGATTTCTTCATGAACACACTATTAAAGTGCCGCCGTTCTGCTCTTTCACATGTGGCCAGGCTTATAGTGTGTAATGATGCTGTTTGTGGATGTAAAAGCTCTGATGAATGGAGCCATCCGACCAATGATATTAGAAAAGATACATCTTCCCAATAAGAGCAGAGTGGGCCATCAGACCAATAAGAATAGGGTTAAGTTGGCCATCTGACCAATAAAAGCAGAATAGATACATCTAAGCAATGAGATCAGAGTAGATACGTCTGGCCTATAAAACCTGAGTGGCCTGTCTGACCAATCAGATTAGAAAAAAATACATCTGCCCAATAAGAGCAGAGTGGGCCATCTGACCAATGACATTAGCATAGATACATCTGACCAATGAGATCAGTATATAAGTCTGACCAATGAGATCAGTGTTGATACGTCTGACCAATGAGATCAGAGTAGATATGTCTGACCTATATGAGCATAGTGGGCCATCCGACCAATAATATTAGAAAAAATACATCTGACCAATAAGAGCAGAGTGGGCCATCTGACCAATGAAATTAGCGTAGACACATCTGACCAATAAGAGCAGAGTGAGCCATCTGACCAATGAAATTAGCGTAGACACATCTGACCAATGAGATCAGAGTATATAAGTCTGACCAATGAGATCAGAGTAGATACGTCTGACCTATATGAGCATAGTGGGCCATCCGACCAATAATATTAGAAAAATTCATCTGACCAATAAGAGCAGAGTGGGCCATCTGACCAATGAAATTAGCGTAAATACATCTGACCAATAAGAGCAGAGTGGGCCATCTGACCAATGAAATTAGCGTAAATACATCTGACCAATAAGAGCAGAGTGTGCCATCTGACCAGTGAAATTATCGTAGACACATCTGACCAATAAGAGCAGAGTGTGCCATCTGACCAGTGAAATTATCGTAAATACATCTGACCAATAAGAGCAGAGTGTGCCATCTGACCAGTGAAATTATCGTAAATACATCTGACCAATAAGAGCAGAGTGGGCCATCTGACCAGTGAAATTATCGTAAAGACATCTGACCAATAAGAGCAGAGTGGGCCATCTGACCAGTGAAATTATCGTAAATACATCTGACCAATAAGAGCAGAGTGGGCCATCAGACCAATGAAATTAGCGTAGACACATCTGACCAATGAGAGCAGAGTGGGCCATCTGACCAATGAAATTAGCGTAGATACATCTGACCAATGAGATCAGAGTATATAAGTCTGACCAATGAGATCAGAGTAGATATGTCTGACCTATATGAGCATAGTGGGCCATCCGACCAATAATATTAGAAAAATACATCTGACCAATAAGAGCAGAGTGGGCCATCTGACCAATGAAATTAGCGTAGCTACATCTGACCAATGAGATCAGAGTAGATACGTCTGACCTATAAGAGCAGAGTGGGCCATCCGACCAATAATATTAGGAAAAACACATCTGCCCAATAAGAGCAGAATAGATATATCTGACCAATGAGGGCAGAGTGGGCCATCTGACCAATGAGATTAGTGTAGATACGTCCGGCCTATAAGAACAGACTGGACCATGGGACCAATAAGAGCAGAGTGGGCTTTCCAACCAATCTGAGCATGGTTAAATGGGCCAAATGACCAATAAGAACGTGAGTAGACTTATGTAGAGGCAGAGTTTAAAGCAACTCGATCAATGAAGCAGCCGTTTCAGACACTGAGAGAACAGAGTTGATGTATTTTCTCAGAAAACTAAAGGGTTTTTGGACTTTGATGGTTAAAATAGCATAACAGTGGCACTTTAATGAACAAGGGGAGTTTTATTCTCCGTCTGTGCATTTTTTTTGTTGGTCCAGTCATTCACGTGTCCACATCTTGTGTTTATTCTTCATTTCACTGCCACATTGATGTGGGTTAGAGGTAGGTCTCCATGTTCAGATCTTCATGTCCTGAAGCGTTGTCTCCTTTAGTGGCTGCTGCTGAGGACTCAATCTAATAATAATAATAATAACTTTAACTAATTAACTAATTGCTTTTAACAGTTAAAGTTAGGGCAACTAATAGCCTTAATATTTATTATTTTGATTGTAATGCAGTAATGTCCTCAGCTGTGGCCACTGTGAAGCCTTTTCCTGTAGTTTTTCAGCAGCTTGTGCTTGATTTCGTTGCTTGCATCAGTCATTGTGTCTCTTGTTTGAGCTATAACCATCATATTACCCATAAACCCCTGCTTCTACAGCTCAGATGAGCTAATGAGACCCTTTTGGGTGAATCTCAAGAAAAACCAAAACAAAAGCCCAGGCCACATTTCAATTTATTTATTTTTTGTACACTGAAAACTAATTAAAGATAATTCATTGGATTTACTCAATTCTCTTAAGTTTAAATGATTGTAAGCTATTTATTTGGGCTGATTTTAAACATGTTGAACATTAATACATTTAATTTTTTGTTTAAATTCAACCCATATAAATAGTTTGCAACAATTCTGCACCAATACTGATGATCTTTATACATTCTTTACTATTTCTCTATAGAATTTATACATATTTATGCGGAATGATTAAACAAAGCAAGTCTGTAACATTATTAATCTACTTAAACACTAAAATACAAAGTGTATTGTAAATAAATGATATAAACACTTTCTTATTAGTCAATAATGCTACTGAAATCAATACAAAACTGAATATATATGTATTTACACACATTTACATTATTAAATAAATAAATAAATAAATAAACAAATGAAATCATCGACGTTGGAAAATTACGGTTAATCGTCCAGCCCTAATTTAGAGTAGGTATTACAAGCCTAATCTCACTGGTAACACTCAAAATTGAAGTGGAAAAACACACTACAGGCTGATCCAACTTTAATGTAGAGTCCTTAAAACTAGTCCAAATCAGGCTCAGTAGTGTGTGTGTGACCTCCATGTACCTGTATGACCTCCCTACAACGCCTGGGCATACTCCTGGACAGTCTGTGATGACACATGGTGTTGGTGGATGAAGCAAGAGATGATGTCCCAGATGTGCTCAATTAGATTCAGCTCTGGGAAACGGGTGGGCCATTCTATAGCATCAATGCCTTCCCTAATACTTCCCTACGACGAATACGTCCCTACAATGCCTGGGCATGCTCCAGGACAGTCTGTGGTGCAACATGGTGTTGGTGGATGAAGCGAGAGATGATGTCCCAGATATGCTCAGTTAGATTCAGATCTGGGAAACGGGTGGGCCATTCTATAGCATCAATGCCTTCCCTAATACTTCCCTACGACGAATACGTCCCTACAATGCCTGGGCATGCTCCAGGACAGTCTGTGGTGCAACATGGTGTTGGTGGATGAAGCGAGAGATGATGTCCCAGATGTGCTCAATTAGATTCAGATCTGGGAAACGGGTGGGCCATTCTATAGCATCAATGCCTTCCCTAATACTTCCCTACGACGAATACGTCCCTACAATGCCTGGGCATGCTCCAGGACAGTCTGTGGTGCAACATGGTGTTGGTGGATGAAGCGAGAGATGATGTCCCAGATGTGCTCAATTAGATTCAGATCTGGGAAACGGGTGGGCCATTCTATAGCATCAATGCCTTCCCTAATACTTCCCTATGACGAATACGTCCCTACAATGCCTGGGCATGCTCCAGGACAGTCTGTGGTGCAACATGGTGTTGGTGGATGAAGCGAGAGATGATGTCCCAGATATGCTCAGTTAGATTCAGATCTGGGGAACGGGCGGACCAGTCCATAGCATCAATGCCTCCATCTTTGTTCAGATTGGAATAATGCAATTAAAGTGTTTACACGCCTGAATACTAAGATTAAAATCAACGTAGACCACCTGGGTTAATACGATCATCCTCCTCCGCATTATTATATGTGTTTACACAAGTTAAAGTTCAATTGCAGTGTTGGCAAAATCTCATTATAATGGCATTAAGATGGTCCATGTAAACATACTCATTTATAATCAGAAAAGTTTCTTGATCATCAAAAGCAATTGATTTCTGATCATGAGATGTGGCCTAGATGCGTTTTTGGTTGACATCACACTGGAAACAATGCTTTAATTACCTAAAGTCTAATTTCTAGTCCAGATATGAAAACATTCCTAAATCAACAAGCATTTTCTAGACCAGCAAAACATAGAGCGCATTTACACTGCATGGTTCAAGTGACTCAATTCCGATTTTTTTTCTGTCATGTGGCACAGATAGGATATGGCCCATGTACATTTAAGCAGCAAAAAAGCACATGGATTCCGATTTACTCGAGTCAGATTCAGGCCTTGTTCATATGTGGAAATGTATCTGATATGAATCGGATCTGTGTTCTCGTGTCTGCAGTGTAAGCAGGTAGATCGGATTTTCACATCATTAAAAACCGTAGCGAGTGACGTCAACTCTGACTCATTTCAGAACAGATTTCAGCCTAAACCTTAAATCACATACATGAGGACTAGAATTGAATTGAAATGAATTTTATTTGACAGATTTTAGACAAACTGTACAAAAAGTATTCCATACACTTTGTTCAAAAAAACTGTCGAGGATAAAAACACAATAAAGCCCTGGGCTTATTTCCATTGTGGTCCTCTGTTAAATAAAAACAATGTATGGCTTCAAAATACTAATGAAGAATAAAACAAACAGTCGCCACAGCAGTACGAACAGCCAACCTATCCAGCACACGTTCCACACAGCCAATGGCCCTCCAGCCGCAAACCTATTCACACTCAAGTAACATATCATTTAAAAGATCCTCGTCCACCATGCAAACTAATTATCCTCATCAAACAACCATCTTTTAATAGCTTTTTTGAACAACCTTAAATCTTTTATTTCCTTGACTGATTTTGGTAGTTTGTTCAACATGATTGCACTTGTATATAAAAACATATTTTTCCCCACTAAACTTCTAAATTTAAATAAACAAATATTAAAATCCCAACTCCTTGTGCTGTATGATTGCTGTTGCCTCACCATTTGACAATAGTTCATCAAATAGCTAGGAACCACATTATTAAACATTTTACGTACCATTCCCATTTTTAAAAACCACACTCTATTACTAACAGTTAACTTACCTAATTTATTAAAGGACTCTTTGTGCAAATGTGCTCTAGGATGCATTTTTAAAATTATTCTTACTAATTTATTTTGAGCCTTTTGCAATTTCTCCTTCAAATTTTGTGAGCAGCTACTGTACCAAAATGACGTAGCATAATCAAAATGGGGTTGAATTAAAGCTCCTGCCAACAATTGTAAAGGATGAACATCCAAAAGATCAGATTGCCTTGCTAAAAACTTAATTTTTCCACAAATCTTCGTAATAACTTTTTTTGCCCTAGCATCTCCTGATAATTTATTATCTATTAAACAACCCAAATAGTTTATCACATTTTTTGACTGAATTTTCCAATCATTAATCTTAACTACAAAAAAGGTGTTTATATTGTCATGTAGCACATGTATTTAAGCATATCTGCCAATGGGGTAAATGGAAATAAACTTGTTTTCCTTACGGAATGAGATTATTTTGCTTGATTTACGGAAAAACTCGCTTCATTTTAACTCATTATTTCTCAAAGCAAGACGATATGCTTTGCTTCTCTAGAAAATTCTTCTTGATTTATGAACTTTTATATATTTGGACTAGAAATTAGACTCTAAGGAAGAAAAGCAGTGTATTTTTGCAGTGTATGACTAGATGTTATAGAGTTATTACATTCTGTGTGTGTGTGTGTGTGTGTGTGTGTGTCAGTGCCCCGGCAGTGCTCAGAGAGTGAGTTTTCCTGCACTAGCGGCCGCTGTATCGCTGGCAGATGGAAGTGTGACGGAGATCATGATTGCGCCGATGGATCTGATGAGGTAAACAACACAACACACACACACACACTTCAGCAGAAATTTTAACACAATTAACAGCGAACTTTCTTAGAATGTCATGAACAAATATTCTAAATATATTTAAGAATTGTTAATAGATTTATACTATATATATTCATTCATTCATTTTCCTTCAGCGTAGTCCCTTTATTCATCAGGGGTTGCCACAGTGAAATGAACCTCCAACTTATCCAGCATATGTTTTACACAGTGGATGCCCTTCCAGCTGCAACCTAGTACTGGAAAACACCCATGCACATATTCACCTACATACACACACTCATACACTACGGCCAGTTTAGTTAATCAATTCCCCTATAGCGCATGTGTTTGGACTGTGGGGGGAAACTTTGGCACCCGGAGGAAACCCAAGCCAACACAGGGAGAACATGCAAACTCCACACTGAAACGCCAACTGATCCAGCTGGGATTTGAACCAGCGACCTTCTTGCTGTGAGGCCACAGTGCTAACCACTAAGCTCCTAAATGTAATTGTGTGTCCGGTGTGTGTGTGTGTGTGTGTTTCAGCACGGCTGTGATGTGAAGTGTGACAATGACCAGTTCCTGTGTAATAACGGTCACTGTATCCCGTTCCGCTGGCGCTGTGATGCTGATGCTGACTGTATGGACGGCAGCGATGAAGAAAACTGCCACACTGGAGGTCTGACACACACACACACACACACATGCAAACACTGGACCCTTTTCACATTTGTGTGTTTCTCAGCAGCAGAGGTCATCATAGTTGGTAAACTTGGAGCGCAGTGAATGAGAGAGTCCACAGAGTCTATTTGCTCCTATCTTTTTTTACAATCCTATTTGTGTGTGTGTGTGTGTGTGTGTGTGTGTGTGTGTGTGTATGTATGTGTGTATGTATATATATATATATATATATATATATATATATATATATATATATATATATATATATATATTTATACAACAGTTCTGTTTGGTTCTCAAATCTGATTGGCTGATAGCCGTGCAACATTCTTGAATATCAGAGCTCCTACAGCCTCTTTACCCTATGTGTATTACTCCACCCTAATACAACCAGCAGAAAGCAGACACTACAGATCTAAAGTTTAAAAGATGCTCGCTCAGCTGTTTAACTGTCAGCTTATGATTTGAATCTGGAAGAAAGTAGTTCCTCATACAAAAGGGTCTTTGAGACTTTCCTTGTTTGATTTAGCTTTTATATACACAATTATGCAGTCAAACTGTTGTATAAATGCAATATCACTCTCGTAGCAGTGCGATATGGCTACATATCGGCACTGGTGGGGGCACTAAAGCACTTGGCCTGCGGCCTCATGCCAACGCACGCCTCCCACCAGTGCCGATATACAGCAATATCGCACTGCTACTCGTGTGATATTGCTCATATATATATATATATATATATATATATATATTTATACAACAGTTGGTCTGGTTCTCGAATCTGATTGGCTGATAGCCGTGATATTTTTAAGTAATATCAGCACCCGTACAGCCTCTTTACCCTTTGTGTATTACTCCGCCCACATACAGCCAGCAACAAGCAGACACTACAGATCTAAAGTGTAAAAGATGCTCGCTCAGCTGTTTAACTGTCAGCTTATGATTTGAATCCGGAAGAAAGTAGTTCCTCATACAAAAGGGTCTTTGAGACTTTCCATGTTTGATTTTGTTTTTATATACACAATTATGTCGTTAAACTGTTGTATAAACATAATATCTCACTCGTAGCAGTGCGATATGGATGTATTTCGGCACTGGTTGGGGCACTAAGGCTCGCACGCCTCCCACCAGTGCAGATATACAACCATATCGCCCTGCTACTCGTGTCATATTGCTCATTTATATATATATATATATATATATCTTGTTTTAAACTTAAAATTTCAAGAGTGATCAGACTCTCTGGAGGACTTTAGTATTCAAGAAGGCCTCTCTGAAGATCTGCTGCCAAGTGTTTTACACACACACACACACACACACACACA